AGTTCTTTCGAATTTTTCGAACTGATAAAAGAGAAAAGTGCATTGCCATCTTCCTGTTTTGATTCCGCCTTGGCAAAACGCGGATGTCAGTATCAGAAAACAAGATTACAACAAGTTGAACTTTGGAAGCGCGAATAAACACAGAAAAACTTTTCGTTCAAAGCGAGTTGCCAACACGATAAAGATTGATGAATAGGAATATCGCATTAAATTCAACTTATCGATTCTAAGAATTTTTTCTTTTTTTCAAGAAGTCATTAAGTTCGTGACAGATATGAGTCATATTAATGACAGCACAATTCATTTGCAAAGTAAATTGAGTTGCCGACGGCGAACGTATGAGTCTCCGTTTTCTTCCGCAGAAAGGCGAAGAAGAGTCTGCGAAATCCGGTGAGCTGCTGGTGGAGGCCGAGCCGATCCGTTATGAGCTTAGCTCCGTTAGACTTAACTGGTCTAAGAGGCGCGATATTAAGCTCGTACCTCGCATACTCAGCGAGGCGACGATCATCAACCGCGGAGCGGAACCGGCAAACTTGGCGGAAGCTTGCGTATATAACTATAAGTACTCGGTCTACTGGGGTCGCAGGCACGCCATCCTGAACGGCCTGAGCACCACGATCACGCTAATTAACGGCACGTCCTTACCGAACATAACATGGGGTACGCGCGATGACGAGAATCGCACGGAAGCTTACAAGTAAGTATCGTTTTAAACTGTCATGAGCAATGAAGTTGAACGGCAGGTATGCAAATTTAGAACTTTCTTTATGCGTATCCAGAGATAAAATGTTTCATTTATATTCTAAAAGATAACAAGTCAAAATAGAAGTGACGTAGAAGTTAAAGTGACAAGTTAATGTTTAAATTTTGTTTTTGACGAAGCGTTACGGAATTACTAATTTAAATTAATCCTATCCTACCTATCTCCCCTTCTAGTCACGCTTACATAATGATTGCGAACATGTGATGATGAAGTGTGGAGCTTCTATCATCGCATTTGCGGCGAATGAGCGGATCAAAGGCGGATAATCGTGAGGATTACGACGCAAATTGGCGACACAGAACGTTAAATGAGTCATAAGTCGAACAAGCGTATGATTTGCAACGATTCAGCTCGTAATCTCATCTCTTATCTCTATAATTAGATATAATTAGAGATCAAATTTATTCCGTAATGTAACTGTATCTCTATCTTTCTCCCTCTCTCTCTCTCGCCCATTTTCTCTGGTTAGCCTCCCGGGACACTTCATCGCTTCCTGTGCATCATTGAAGCTCGCGCGCGGCGGAGATGAGCCTGGAGTGCACTTTGCACGACAACTTCGTACCACCCTTCCCGCTCAGTGTGCCCTAGAATACTCCGTCGTGCTTTCAGCTTAAGTGATGCTTCAACGCAACACAATTACGATCATGCATCGGACCCGCGTTCCAGTTGCAGTATAGTCCAGTGCTACGTTAACACGTTCAGTCCTCGAGGTCCTTAGTAATCCTAAACGTGTCCTTACATTATAAATATCTCTCCTGAATAACGAAACTATTACCAATTAAATTTTTTTATAGGTACGAAATTTTGTTTATAGATAGCGCGACTCGTTATTTCTTGTTAAGAGAAGATACACGTATGATTTATATTATAGAGACTGATTTCTAGATTGAGTCAACAAGCTTGACATATCTTCTTTGCGCGTGTCTTTTACAGTGTGCTGGTCTACCTGCAGCCTGGTACGGGCGTAAACGTGACTCTAAAGGCGAACTATGTGGACATGGAGATACCGTACGCCGCAAATTTGATTTCACATTACGAGGATGGTGCGATGATATCGCGCCAGATCAGCGGCACTCGACAGGAGGAAACGTTGTTCGACATCACACCGGAATTCGGGCCCATCTACTTCCTGAGCAATTTCAGCTTGGTACCAACTACCATACCGCCGCCTACTACGACCACCGAGCCACCGACCACGACAACGTTAATGACAACGACGACGGTGCCGACAACAATGAAGCAAGAGACAAGCCGAACGACGCACCGGCACCAGACGGACGACTCGGATATAGATCACGACGAGAACCTAATCACACCGCCGAAAAAGACAGACATATCGACGGGCATGCATAATGACAACAATCGTCCGCTGTTACTCAAGGTGGAGGTGCCGTACGGCGGCGCCTCGTCCGTTGCGTTCCAGTCGAGTTTATTGACGCTCGTCATTCCGCTTCTATTGCTGCTGATCCTCCATAAAATTACGTGAAGATCCGATTGCACGTTCGTCACCGCCGCCTCTAAACGTTAATTCCTAATTCCCGCAATAGTAATATAATAATATAACTCAGTAGACGCGACACAGTCCCGAAAACGGAAAAAGGATTAAAAAAGAAAAAAAAAGAATTACACAGAAAAAAGAACAAAAAAATACATATACGCGGAAAGAAAATTGCTGTAATTTCATATGTAGCGATTATCGCGTGAATGACCTTCTTTTATTTAAACACTCGTACATACCATACACCGTTGGATTGCGGTGCTGATACATGCTTGCCTTTAAAAAAAAAACTCGATATTTAATATATACATATATCTATATTATTATACACACAAATAACACACACACAAATGCGCTTAGAGTAACAGAAGAGAGAGCGAGAGAAAAGTATCTTCGCAATTGAACAATGGAGCTAGTCTCACGACAATGAGTTAAGTACAAGAACGAGATCGCAGCGACTGATGTGCAGGTAGATTAACCTAGCCGCGAAACGTTCACCCGTTATATTGTTGAACCGACCGTGTAACATTCCGTCTTTTTCTAATCCTGCTGTGAATCGACTTTCCAGCTATAATGTATGTCTTATGCCTTCGCAAAAGCGTAATTCTAGATCCTTTAGAAGACTTAATCGCTTTAAAGGACGACATTCTTTTTTTTTTTAGAGAGTTGAGAAAGAGCTATAAATGCCGCGAATAACGTTTTGAACGAATAGTAGCGTATATACGTATTGAGTCGGGAGGCAAATAGAAGTTAAGCAATGGAGGAAAAGAGCAAGATATGCGAATTAATTCTGCTACGATATATTTTTGAGATTGTCGTATAATTTTAGAAGATTGTAAAATTTATAAGGATAGTAAGTAAGAGAGAAAACCGTATAAAGTGTAGGGGGTAGATGGGTACGTTTTTTTTTTTTTTGCGATACAATTCGATTAAGTTCCAATTATTAGAGTGAAACGAAACGTACGAGCTAATCGTTTAATGTTTAATTATATATTACGATAACGTTAAGTGATAATGCTATTCATGAGCATGTTGAATTTGCTGATGCAATATGTGTATTTTTTTTCGGTTTTAAACAATTATGTACCCATCTGTTGCTAGTACGTAAAGTGATAGGACTTGCAGGTTTTTTAGAGTACTGTTGAAGAAGACGTATAACGATGGAGGAACCATTGGTATATATAATATAAATATCTAAATAATCTATTAATAAAGAGGATAGAATATTTTGGTACGCGTGAGAAGTATAAAATTATTGATTTCGACGTTTTGTGGAAGCATTTTTTTTTTTGTTCACTCGAAAGACTAAGACGACGGTCATTTTTTTTATACGAGGTTGCGTTGTCAACATTTTTACCGAAGAAGTATCCACATGTATGTATATAATATGTATTTCTATGATCTTGATAGTTGTAATATTGTGTAGTAGGCTTATTTATATAATATGATTTATAGATATTTTCTCTATCGATAGTAGCGTCACACACAAGTACAATTCTTATATTTTACTATTAACCGATGAATACCGTAGGATTAGCGCGAAACCGTTTATTTCGGGCTAAAGTGTGTCTCTAACGACGTTTATTAACGTAAGCCTAATCACGCCTGTTGTGATATTCAATGAAAACCTCAAGGCTCATCTAAAATACACGTAGTAAGCTTGGTTTAAGAAGTAAAAGTAAGAAATTGACCAATCACAGTTTATTATTCTTTTCACAATCGACTGTGATTGGTCAATTTCTTACTCTTACTTCTTAAACCAAGCTTACTTCGCATATTGTAGACAACGCCTTACGTAAACACGAAAAGGAAAAAGAAAGCATTATTTTGAACGATTCGTTGATTGCGAGAGAAAGCAATAATTCGTTGCGAGATCGAAAGACTTGCGAGGAAGTCAGAAAAAGGCAACGATAGAAGACAAACGCAAATAAAATTTGTGGTACCTATGATATTTCTTCGATATTCCTAGTAAATTGACGAAACGTAATTAACGAATGGGCGGCGCGATTTTAGTATAGAGTTCAAAAAAAGAAGCTGTATGTTCGTACAACCCAAGATCACAAATTAACTTCTTGACAATTCACCCTATATGCCGGTAGAGACGTAAATAAATCCTAAACAAAAAACTATCGACTTTGGCGAAGCCAAGAATCGTTCTAAAAATATCTATATTCTCAACACTCAGATGTATTATTTGTGAATAATGCTGCTGTATTGTACATTATCATGTAAATATAAACGCTATGTACATATAAAAAGTTCCCGGCAATATCCACATTTTCCAGAATCTCCAATAAGTAGATTATACAGTCAAGAACGCAGTATTTTGTATTTTGATTTTAAAAAATCAAGATCATTCCATGAGAAATGTATCAATATTAAAAGATATTAAGAACACGCGATATATGGTAAACAAAATCTACTGATATTTCTATATTTCTGGAATACTGGAATATATCCTAAATTTTTATTTAAAAAATCAAATAGTATACAAAAATATTTTCAAATATAAATTTAATATAACTTTCCAAATTTAATATAGCTAGACTTGGCTGTGTTCCGTTTCACCCATGGTGCATCATTTATCCTTGTTATTCACCGAATATTAAACAAGGATAAATAATGCATTATGCACATCATGCGTGAAACGGAATGCATCCTTGATATCAGGATTATACACTTCAGCTATTTTTTTTATATGCATATCTCAATTATTAATAAATTTCATCAAAAACTTACCAAGAACACCGTATTGTTGCGGAGTAAGTTTTTCATTATTGTCTGGACCACCTGGCACAGAGGAAATGAGTGATGCACGATCACTAATATGACTTCTAGTGCTGGCTTCACTTCTTCTCGCCCAAGATGCTTGTGACAATACATCTAGACGTTTGGTATAACACAAAAAATATTTTGTTTTATTATATAATCATTAATAGATTTAAATGTATTCAAATTTTACATTGCATTTAATTTCATAATTAAATTGGTTTATGTAACATGACAGCATGTGTCAATAGTATTACCAAAATTAGCGTTCTTAATATTTCCTAATCTTGTTTTGTAGTCTCTGTAATGCCTTTTGGAAGGTGGAATAGGGTGTCTTCGTCGTCTCTTCAAAAACTGTGCCAGTCCTCCCAGTAATATTGAACCGCTAGTGAAGCAGATAATAAAAATCTGAAAGAAACATATACAACTAACAGACTTGTATTTGTGTCACCAAATTTAAATTTTAATAATAAAATCCTCGTATAATTGTTACTCTGACCTTGTAATTTTTTTGCATTATTATGTAATGATCAAATGCAAATAGTGAAAGTATTTACTCTAACCTTGAGAAGTCGCCGACTTCGCTCTTACCTTTTGCGTGCGAGATAAGTGTATTGCCGGTAATGAGAACATGTATCGCTGATATAACGTGCCAAAGAATTGCCGTACGTTGAAAAGAGACATTGTCATTTACTTTGTTATAAACAACATTAACCAAAATTCACGCGTGCTGCCGAATCCTCGTTGATACTCGTCGCATGAAAACTGCCATCTGCTGAACGTTACCACGGGTTCGTAATCATTTACAGCCGGTTGTAAAACTTATCCGATAAAACAGACTATATTCTCGTATAATTGTATCTCCTTTTTCAAAAATTTACTTATTTGATTTAATCCTTAAAACAGGACAGATCTAGTATTCAGTCTCGGTGAAATTTCATCCGAGAGTAATAAAAAAATGAAATCCGAAATGAAACACATAGAATCTTTTATTTTTCCTTCATACAAAAAATAAGTCTTTGAAAATATCAAGAGAATACTGAATTATTGTCCATTCACACAATAGTATCCCAATCACAGGAGTCAAAGCATTCATCATCAACTTCGAGTAATTCTTTAACATTTGAGGGAGACGCTTCTGGAATTGCTGGAGAAATCTCCATATCATACTGCAACTGCGATCCTTTCTCAGAGGACGAAGAAATATTTAGAAAAGAATCCAAGTTTTGTTGCTTGTTATTTTGCACTGCGACGGCGATGTTATTTATTGAAAGATCCTGTTTGAGACCGAGCGCATTCAGAACGTCCTTTTTTTTGTGAAGCAACGGCCACAGATAATCATCCACAGTGTTTTGCGCTATCAAGTACTCGATTGTGACAGTGTTGTTTTGCCCGATTCTATGCACTCTGTCTTCCGCTTGGGACAAGATCTGAAAATGATTTCATACATTAACGTGAGATCAATTTCATACTCTATTAAAGATTTTCTTTTTTTGATAAACATTAATTACACCGGGATTCCAAAATAATTCGGTGAAGACCACGAGATTTGCAGCCGTTAATGTAACACCTGCGTTCACAGCGGTGATTGACAAAACCGCCACTAAACATTCATCACATTCTTGAAACTTGTCGATCAGAAGTTTTCTCTGTTCTGAATTAGTTTTGCCGTCGATTCTTATATACCTGGAAATTGTCATAATTGCAATATATATGACGTACTGCCTACTGACGATAATTATAAAAACTTAAACAGATAACTCCAATTAGGCTCTAATGAATGAAATTAAAATGAAATTAAAAATTAAAAGAAGAACCTTCAGAGCCAACACAAACGTTAGTGCGTGAATATATATATTTCATTAAAAAAGATAAACATATATACGTTTCGATTCTGTGTTTTGGATCCTCTTCAGTATAATCTTAATATTAAAAATTCAACAGTGAAATTCATCAGGAACATAATTATAAAAAGAGTTAACATGATCATACGTTGAATTAAATTGGTCAAATGGTTATCACATCCACATCTTATTAATAAAAACTTACGCTATGTCTACAGATTCAGCAGCTTCGCAAATAGTATCCAAAATAATTTGATGATGACCATACAAAAGACATTTTTTCTTATTTTCAAATAATTTTGCAACGTAATTGCTGTAATGTACCAATGTTAAATTAATTAAAATAGAAATTATTCACTTTCTTTAAAAAATATAAGTGTATTATTTACCCACCGTACTGCCGTCACTCTCGCATAGCTAGACTGGTTATAATATTGTATTAGAGTACTATGTCTTTCCAAACCCGTAATATTTGTTTGTAAACGTTGCGACATCTCCCTCATTTGCTTGCCAGTTTTGATCAAACTTGAATCTAAAATAATCACCTTCCTAAACGCATAAATGAATAAAAACATGCTTAGACCCAGTTCCACAACTCACAGTTAACTCTTAACCGAGGTTCAACTGATTCATTGTCTTTTTCTAATTCTAGAATTGGAAAGAGATGAGAAACAAGTTGAACCTCGATTAAGAGTTAACGTGAGTTGTGGAACTGGGCCTTAGACTTCTAATCAAGTTGCTGACATCATAAAAAAGATTTTCTTTTAAAACCTTATCTTAGACGGCAACTGATTTAAAACGTCTGCTTTCAGCCTTCGAATCATGCAATCCGACTTCAGCAGCGCTTGTAACTCTTGCGAATTTGAGGAGCCTAGGAAGTCCCAACCAAATATAGACCTCTGTCCTGCGCAATAACGTATACCATAGTCTTCATAGCTGCAAAACAATACTTATGAAATATATGCCTATTTATATAATTAAAGCAAGTATCAAAATATCTATTGTCTTTCTAATTACCTCATAAAACGTGGATTAGCAAGGCTAATCTGTGTATACAATTCAACTGGTCTTGACAGAGCCGGAGTACCTGTGAGCAATACAATATGACGTGCATGGGTACATATTCTATTAGTAGCTTGAAATCGCGCAGTCTTATTGCTCTTCAAACCGTGGGATTCGTCCTACAAATTTACAACATGCAATAGCAACGACAACGTTTATATTTGATTTATTAAAAATAATGTGTATATTTACCAGAATAACAAATCCATAAATATGTTTCGCGAAAGTATTTATGGCTCGTACTAACAAATCATATGATGTTATGGTGATTTTGTCATCTCCAATGTGATCTTTTGTGTTCGCAAAATGATGAATGTAATGTGTAGGTATGGATGGTAAGAATTCATAGATTGCTTGAGACCACTGATACCTATATGAAGCATCTCTAATATTAATACATACTTTCATTACATCAATTATAATAGAATAGAATATTTATTCACTTCAGCATATTTATAAAATCAAGAAGGGGACTTAGTTTACAATTCTCCTTAATTCATTCATCCATCCATACCTTTTATACTTGCTTAATTGCTCATCTTTCCTACTTTTTTTATCCTTATTATTATCTATCAATCATCATTTATACATTACAGCTATTTTCATTCATACATACATCAATTACAATAGAACTTACCTCACTGACGAAGGAGTTACAATAAGAAGTGGCCAACTTTCCTTATAATAATGTGCAATGCCTAATGCTTGTATAGTTTTTCCTAAACCCATATCATCTGCAATAATACAACGACCATTCTTCGATATACCATAGCTGAAATAAATTAAACAAAATATATTAATAAAAATATACATATGTATAAAATATGCACATAGTAATTGCATATAAAAAGATTTACCAAATACCCTCTCGTTGAAACGGCATTAAAGCATTTGTTAACGTTTCATCAATTTTTGATAAATCATGTTCTGGTAATTGAGTGTCTGACTTTAAGTTTTTTTTGAATATCTAAAATAAGAATATACGCGATTATATTTTTGTATAGTTTCTCAATGTATTTTTACTTTATTTTCAATTACCCGAAGGACAGCCTCTGGTATCTTTGTTATAGATAAATTACAATGATTAGATGATAATGTCTTTAATAAACCATTATAATCATTGAGATGAAAATTCCATATTCTGGATTTTGGATCTGTAAAATTAAATATTAATAAAAATATTTGCACGCATTAAGTCAAGAAATTTATTTACCATATATTCTGCTTGGAACTGTTTTAAATATATCAATAATTTCAGGTACAAATGCTGATAATTCTAAGGCAAATCTATCATCACTGATCATATAACATTTTCCTGTCACAGACAACATTGGATTGAAAAACCTTCTAGGTTCTATAGGATTGAAACGATTGTTTGTTTTGTTTTGTCGTGCAATATTTTCATTGTCATTTAAGTTTGTTTTGTTTTGTTGTGCAATATTTTCGTTGTCATTTAATTTTGACTGTTGATGAATTTGACTACTTGTGGGTGTACTTTGGGCTTTTAATTGAGATTGCTGCCGCCTCTGCAATGCTAATAAACGCTTTTTCTCGATTTCTTCGGGAGTACACGTTTTATCTATAAAAGAAATCATTTTTTAATTATTTATCTTAAAATATTGCTTCCTGAAGATAAATACTGTCTTTAAAAAAAACTTTACCCATTTTTTATTTCCTTTGGCGTACTTCAACGATTATAATAAATATATATTATTGCAATATCTTAAACTATAACAGCTATAGTCCTTATTTATTTATTTCCTGGACGATTTAACCCTACAACAATATTATGTTATATTCATTACAAATATAAATTATATTCGAGCCATGCTTACCGCTCGTGCAAAAAACGCATTACTTTTATAAATCCTTGTTAAATAAAAAGCAAACGATAAATTTATTGAAAAAATCAACTATCACGTTTCTTATATTTCACTATCCTATAACCAAAATACAACCAAAATATTGATAGTTCTTTTGTATATCTTTCTTCCCTAGTCATATATGCGTTGCGCAGCTCAGTATTTTCCCTAAATTTCCCTAAAATAATTTTCCCTAGTTAGACAGGTGTGAAAAAGCAGGAAATTCAAACGCAAGATTAAAAAAGTAGTACTATGAATCGCTATGAATGAAATTAGATCTGATTAGATCTTCTCCTATTAAAAATAATATTTTTTATTTCAATTAATATATTATTGATATATTGTACTTTAACAACACTTATTATATTAAAAGGAACTTCATAAAGTTTTGTTGTTTCAAGCTTTCGATTTCAATGGAAACTTCCTTTACGTATGCGCGTTGCGAAGTAGAACGTGATAGAACGTTGACAACTGATGATTTCGTTGCAAGGTCATGGGCATCATTAATTATTGTTTCTGTCTACAGTTTGTTCACTTACGTCATATATGAGGTAATTGACGTATAGAGCAATTTGCGCGCAAATGAAAAATATTTTTATTTGAAACGCTCTTATCGCAAGGTTATGAATTAAATTTCTTACTTTATTATTAGGTTAGGTCTCATCATTGATAAATTGTTGAGTTTAGCTCCTGTCCCATAGCTTATCATTTGCTGGGGTACAAAATTTTGACAGTGGATGACGGTGTCATTTAATTACGCCTAATCGAAATCGTTGCGCCTAAGCGAAATGCTGTCACTGTTAAAAAATACCATTGCATTGCCTTAACGGATCTTGTTAATATCGCAGCTGCATCCTCAAGCGTTCATCATGTCAACACCAAAATTTCCTTTGAAGGAAAATGTGGTATCGTGTATGTATTGCAATATATATGAGGTAAAATTGATTGATTTTTGTAAGATGCATATTAATATATTATTTCAGCAAAGCAACATGAATTTATCGTGCCAAAAAAGTGTGTCAAGACACCAGACGATCTAGTGCTTTGGCAAAGATCAGAAGCTTACTATGTAAGAATTTTTACGGATTATTTTTCATTGGAACTTTATTTTAATTAGTATATGATTATATGACAATATATTCCATATCTGTCATAGTAAAAACATAAAATTATCGTACATTTACTAGTGAATGTATATATTTTTATAAAATTTTAACAAAAGCATCAATTAAATATAAAAAAATATCTAATATTTCTAGTAAATTATTAATTTACTAAACAATGCATGCATTTGCTACAACACAATCCAATCATAATATATTACAAATCATTTGTTACAACAAAAATATATACTTTAGTAAATATATGTTGACTAAATTTTATGCTTTTACCGTGTATAGTACGTATATATTTTCATAAATAAAAAATATTTAAATGTATTTTTATAAAATATTACTTGTAGGAATACCTAGGATTTATTTTGACGTTAAACAGCGCTGTTCAAGGAAATGCTTTAGATGCACAATGTCCACAGTCACCTGTAATAAACAATGTTGTACAGATGTTGAATAGATTTGATGAATGGATAACAGAAATTCCACCTACCGAACAACCACAGCGATTTGGCAACAAGTCATTTCGCACGTGGCATGAGAGACTACAGCAGGTATGCTGTTAACATTGTATATAAGAATATAAATTACTCTTAAGTTATTGAAAAATTGTAAGATATTTTATTTATAATTACTCTTATTACAGAATGCTGCAGAAGAATTGAAGCAAGTCTTATCAGAAGATCTATATCGTGCGATCCCGGAGATAGTTCAATATTTATATGAAAGTTTTGGGAATCCAACTCGCATTGACTATGGAACAGGCCACGAAATGGCTTTTCTTATGTTCCTCTGCTGTATGTTCAAGATAGGCGCATTTGAAGACAATGATAAGATTGCTGTTGTAGTAAAAGTGTTTAATAGGTACTTTAATATATTGCATGATCTCTCATTATCTCCCCAAATTATTTAGTTATTTAAATCGTGTTTTTTTCGGCTTAGGTATCTAGAATTGGTGCGTAGGCTTCAGCTGATATATCGTATGGAGCCAGCGGGTAGTCATGGCGTTTGGAGCTTGGATGATTATCAATTTGTACCTTTCATATGGGGAAGTGCTCAGCTCATTGGTATTAACTTTTGTATATATTTTTCAATATATTCTTTATCGGTAACATAATACAGTGATTTAGAAGTTTTTTCTGCTTCTAAAATTTATGATATTTTATGTAATTTAATATTTTAGGACATCCTCGAATAGAACCACGTCATTTTGTAGATCAAGGTATCGTGGAAGCTTACAGCAAAAAATACATGTTTCTTGGCTGCATTGAATTTATCTCAAAGGTACAGAAATATATTCGTGTTTGTAAAGATTTATTGTGTTTTTTCAGTGTGATTTAATTTATTTAAGATTACGGAACTTCCATACATTTTGATAGCTATTGTGTTTTATTAGGTGAAAATAGGACCTTTTGCCGAGCATTCGAATCAGTTATGGAATGTTAGTGCAGTGTCCTCATGGTCGAAAGTGAACAGTGGTCTTATAAAAATGTATCAGGCTGAGGTAATTATAATCGATGCAAGTTAGAAAAAAGAATTGTTGACTCTATTGTATTTATTTGCTAGGTATTGGCGAAGTTTCCTGTTATCCAACACGTTTTCTTTGGTTCTCTGCTACCAATGACACCAATGGTCCCGAAATACTCTAAACCAACTGTTACTCCAAATTACAAAAGAACTCCTGTTGATGACAATGAGCCACCGCCACCAGCGGTGCCACAATGAAAATTACATTCGTAATAAATATTGTTACCTCTGAACTACTTTATCACATTTCCAAGTATTTATTATAAAATGTTATTATTGCCCTTTTCACTCCCTTTATTTTGATATTTTCATTTCAGATGCATTTTACTAGCTCGTTAGAAATTTATATTATATTTATTACAAAACAGTATCTTTATTGTTGAGGTATAAAAAAATAAACGACATAATGCAAAATTGTCTAGATGACATGTGCGTAAAATTATACATTATTTATGATTCTGTAATCGTTGATTTTCTGAATAAAAATAATAGATTTACATCTCACACAGAAATTTGAAATCCCACGAAAAACGGCGTACCTTTAAATTTCATTATAAATATCAATTTTATTTTTGTGTCAAATAATTTTGTCTCAATTAGTAAATCACGCTAATATTCTTATGAGATGCTTATTACTTCGATGACATGTGAAGTCTTGCATGTTTCTGATCGACGTTCGTTTCCATGGGAACCGGAAAAATAGTGTTGTCTACCTCTACCCATCGTATACTTAACCTCAAACATCTTATTATACGAAAAGGTTTTATTAAAGGTGTATATACAAACATATTACAAGAATTTATGAAGTAGACGTCATATAATTTTAAGAAGAGGTTTTTCTTCTTTTCTTTTTCTAAAATGGATTTTCGATCCACTAAGGTGGATCACAGTATCATAAGTTGAAAACAGACCAAAAAGTTCAGTTGGTCCAATGTCCTGTCCATCTGTCTAAGGAAAGATTGGGAAAGATTGAACTGGTTGAAGACACAAAATCCTACCAACCGGTGGAAGTAACTTCAGAAATCATCCGAATTTAGATATTAATGCTATTGTTACGGAGTGACAAATATCGAGAAAATTTGTAAAAGCTACACATAATTTGCCATGATTAGGATATCAATTTTTATGTTATTTTTTACGAACTTTTACACTACACTTTGCCAGGACGTTGAGATTGACGCAAATGGCTATATCGTTTATTGTCCCTGCATGGGTAAGATCTTTATTTTTATCACATTTATGATATCATTGAACATAATAATAATAATCTTTGTGATCCTCATTCTAGGCCGTTTCGGTAATCAGGCAGATCATTTTCTAGGAGTCCTTGGATTCGTCCAGGTTTTGAATCGTACTCTAGTATTACCGCCATGGGTTGAATATCGTACTGGAGAGACAAGATCTGTAAGCACAAGACTTATGTGTAACATTATTCATACATTTTATAACACAATATCTAATATCTAATTTTATTCTAGGTGCAAGTACCATTCAATACCTATTTCAATGTTTCTCAAGTACAAAGTTGCCACAGAGCAATATTAATGGAAGATTTTATGAAGAATATTGCGCCGAAGATATGGCCACCTGAAAAAAGAACATGTAAGCTCTAATTCTAATTCTTTTGAAGAAACAAAATATTCTAATGTGAATTCTTCATTCTTTCTCAGCTTTCTGTTACGAGGCCCGTGTAGGCAGCAATGGAACCTCCTGCAATGCGAAACAAGGAAATCCGTTTGGCCCTTTCTGGGACACATATAATATAGATTTCGTTAAATCAGAATTTTATAAGCCACTCCATTATCATGACGTATATTATACCCAGACGAAACAGCAATGGAATCAGTATTATCCAGCTGAAACTTGGCCGGTATTGGCGTTCACGGGTGCACCCGCCAGTTTCCCGGTCCAACCTATGAACAAGCCTTTGCAGAAATGTCTCAACTGGAATAACGATATCTTGAATAAAGCAAAGGCATTTATAAAGAAAACATTGCCGAGGGGTGCGTTTGTTGGTATACATTTGCGAAACGGGATCGATTGGGTACGTGGCATTTGCTATTTATATTTTTATACAGAGAATATACTATTAACATCCTACAGAGAATACTGATTCTATATTTATTACATTTCAGGAACGCGCCTGCGAACATATACCGTCTGCGCCAGATCTTTTTGCTGCTCCTCAGTGTCTCGGTTATCAAAACGAACGTGGGAAAGCCACCCTCTCGATGTGCTTACCGTCATTTGATGTAATAATAACTCAGCTGAAGCGTGTTATTCGTAACGGTAAAGATATCAAGTCTGTGTTTATAGCATCTGACAATGATTACATGTTGGATAGACTCGGAGAAGCTTTGTCGCGTATGGAGGTAGGTTCATTTATTACTATCATGTCATCAATGAATACTAATGTTATCATTTCTGTGTAGATATCAGTGTTCCGACAAGAACCACCGGTATCCTCGCATTTGGATCTGGCCATTCTCGGAAGATCCAACTACTTCATAGGAAATTGCATTTCTTCTTTCACTGCTTTCGTGGCTAGAGAAAGAGAGGTCAGGGGATATCCTACGTTCTTCTGGGGTTATCCTCCCAAAACCAGAACAGAACTGTGATATTATATTTTGTAATATGATACTTGCCAAGTGCGCAATCATCAGATAATTTTTGTATTTATATATTATTGTATTAAGTATTTTCTTGATGAGATTAACATTATACATATGTTTATTATGATAAAATACAATTATGGGGCATATACAGAGCAGACCAAGTCATACTATACAAAGTGTTTTGGATCTTCAGTATATATTTCGCAATAAAAAGTTTATGCGAAGCAAATTCGTTTGATTCGAGCATCTCTTTTTTTGCTATCGTATATAATATAAAAATATCAAATTCGGTACTTTTTTTCCATCGTACTAAAATTGCGAAGTTCTTACAATTTTATTCACTTCCTATGTTTCGCATATCGCACAATGTCTGCTGTAAAACACAAGCAAAATTTCTCGTATTAGTCTCGTTGCACGATTTAAACGACGAACAGGCAAATAGAATATCCTTCGGTCGTGGGTTATAGCAGCAACCATAACCGTCGGGAACAACCGGTCCAAAGCACATAAAAGACGCTGACTTATATGGCACCTTTAAATTACAAAAGTATATTGATTATTTTTTTGTTAATATTTTCACATTACTGTTTCGCCAAAGAATTTCTTTGAAAGCCAACTTTGAATTACCTGACTTGATGTCAAATTGAAATATGTACTTCTGGTATAACCAACATCTTTATACAATTCTGGGAGCTCCATTCCTTCGCTTTTTGCTATCATTTTTAAGCCAAATAAATGCCGGTCGACGCCTTGACCTGTCGCAGCCTATGCAAAAAAATGTTAATTCGAAAATTTACGTATTGAATTATAATATACATATGTTACGAGAAATTTTATTATTTGGATAATGCCCAGCCAATATGTTATACAATGCTTGGTTAATGTTATTCAGGCCCAAAGTAATCAAATTTCCTATAACATATACATTACATATTATAAAGATGATTAAAGAGACGCATTATAATTAAAGTAGACATATATCTCACTTGTGCGGCGTATTCTTTATGAGCATTTATAGCTCTGATCATCATTTCCTTCTTTTGTTGTTTGCTCTTGCATTCCCCAGGAAGCATTACTTTCGCGAACTCAACCGACTCGGTGCTGGTCGACCTAATACATTCGGTTCTGGCATTAATAAATCTTCGTAATGCCGCGCTTTCATAATGAGCCGGCGCCTTCCTTTGTAAATTGTAAAAAGTCACTTGCATCGCTATCTGAATAAAACTGTCGGGACTCAGTTTGATCGCTTTTATAGCGTCTGCACCAAATTTGTCGAATGTAAAACATTCCATATCTATGTCGTCTGAGAGTCTAAAAAATCACAAATATTGTACATCAAACAGTACTGGCGTAATTATAATCGTAAAGGAATAATCAACCTACTTATCTACCGTATCAGTAGCTATTTCGATTGCACAGTCTATAGCGTCGTTAATTTCAAACTTCAAAAGCTCTGGTCTCGGGAAATCCGCAGACTTTCCATCCCTTGCGCTATTTTCTCTTGCCGCGCTGAAAATAAACAGAAATTATTATTTGCGTTCTATTAAAATGACATTATATGGCATAATTATTATTTACATATATTTTAATACATAATCGTGAAGGACAGCAACTGGAATTCCTTCACATGGACTGTGTTCGTATACCATGCCAATGTAACCATCGGCGGATATTATATACTGTAAAGATATACATATATGTTCCTTGTTTATCTCATCAAAAGATACCATATTAAATATTTGGTTTATCTAAAACTATTTATTTATAATAAATGTTAATCAGATATTTCACCTGTATAGTTTTGTCATGCCACCTGTTTCCAGCATTTATATAGCTACAATATAAACAAGGAACTTTCTATATCTTTGATTATATCCCTATTGTTATCCAGTTCTGAAAATAACAACGATGATTCGAGATACATAATTAAAAATTATATAAAAAATTGTATGTTTAAAAAGACGAAACACAAATTGTATAGAGGTAAAAACAAAAGATAAGGTAAAACTGAAATAAACCTAAAAGTAAGCTATAATCCTTCACCCAAGTATCTCTGTCATTTCCAGTTAAAATTCCTACGGGCTTTCCTTGAGTACTCGAGCGATCTGCGATATCTTTTATGGCAGCTACAAGTTTGCCCTCGCTTAAAATGCCGTCTTTATCGACAACACAAAGTTTAAAGAACTGTAAATATAGATAGAATGTATTCAGTTATATTGTTTCATTATATTGATTATACTTACATTATTATTGCTTATGATTATTATGTGTTTGGCCTCGTCTGTGTGCAACAATTTGTCGACTACTTCGTTGGGTCGCCTGTGCGTGCCAAGTATCATGCCGTAAGGCTGCATATCAAGCGGATCATTGCGAGCCATTTCTTGTTTAATCTTTCCACTGCAATATCATTGCCGATGAATATCGCAAGGAACAAAAATTGTCATAAACTACATAAGATTTACCTTTTAACCATCTCATTATAATTGCACACTGCAGCAACGAGACGTGCTGCATACATATAAATGTCATCTGGTCGATGGAAAGTAATTGGAGGCCCAACAGTTCCAGGACTGGAATGCACAATCACTGGCAAACGGTATCCTAAATATGCGACTTCTAGCCACCATTCTTTCATCTAAAATAAGTAGATGTTGATTTGTATATAATTCACCTAATATTAATTTTAAAAGGTATAGATATACAAGTACCCAGTTATCAGTATTCTGATATCTCTCCAATAATTTGGCATGTAACCGAGGTCCTGCGCCTGTATGGCTTATAAATTCACCAACAATCTTCTCTGTATTTTTATATTCATTGTCGGTCAATAATGGTTTTAAGGATCTGTAATTAATAAAATCTGAATGAAACGATACTTGAAGATAAAAAGATATATAGACACGTACCTCAAGTAACGTTCCATAGTTTGCTTGAGATCAGGAACAGGTTGTTTTGGAATTGGTTGCTGATTTAGGTTTAATGTTGTTATAGATGCTCCATGAAGAACAGACGGTGTCTTACGCAATCCATCGTAGATCTGTTTATTCAACTGATTTTATTAAAGAGCTTTACTTTCTGTAAAAAGTACAAACACTTATGTACTTACTGTATACTTTGATACATTGGAGAGTACTTTGTACATAGCTGGTTTCTCTAAAGAGTCTAATTTTACTGTACTGCTAAAGAACAGAGATTAACAGATGTTATTGACATTTCAAAGATAAACAAACGTAATTGTGAAATAAACGCGTTATCATGTGGGAAGCATCCGATAGAGCTCACTGTTAAGATACATGTCACACTTTGCTGTCAAGTTTTCAAAATATCTCAGCAGTCATCTGTCACACTCATCCATGTATATTAGATGCTTAAGCTCGTATATACACACACATACTCTGTCGAAAATGTTCGATTAAACCGATTAAAAAAAAAAGTAATCCAAATCAATTGGAATTTCTGCACTGAAAATACGGCATTAATACCGATTGAAAATAATAAATCGGATTTAATACTCTTCAAACGGATTAATTTCGGATGATATAAATCCATCTCAATCCGAAATTATACGATTTCATAAGTTATAATTAAATCGGTTTTAATGCGATGTGAATCGGTTTAAGTAGGAGGACGACAAAAGTAATCCATTGCAATCCGAAATTCTATGATTTTACGAATAACATTTAAATCGGTTTTAATGCAATGTGAACCAGATTCTGTCAAGGACGACAAAAGTAATCCGTTGCTATCTAAAATTCCACGATTTTGCAGATTACATATATCGCGGTAGAGTGTAGACAATTACATCCGTTTCAATGTAATTTAATTGAAATTTACTATAATCGACATAAGCAATCCATTTTAATAAAAAATTCCATTATTTCGCGGATGAAAAGTAATTTGATTTTATGTAGTATGAATCGGATTTGCTGTTGCCATAAGTCACAATCAAGCCATTTATTTAAATCCTTCAGCGTAGAAACTTGCAGCAACATTGTTGCAATGTTACATCGTTGCTGCAAGCTTCTGTGTTGTATGGGAAATTAAATTTTTATTTTTCTTTATTAACTGCATAACATTTTTACAAAGAAATGTAATTTGAGCGTTAAGTGGTTATTGTTCATAATCGACTCAGTTACTAAGAATTGGGTATTATTAAAACGAATTGTAATTGTATACGCGCAAGTGCTGAACTTCGAATTGAAACGGATTAATGTTGTCTTTTCTAGCAAATCGGATTCAGAAAGATTACATGAATCGGCGTTTTTGTAATTGAAGCGGAATCAGCTGTTAAAAAAGCTAAATACGATTTAGGTGGATTATTTTCGGTTTTAATCGAACATTTTCGGCAGGGTATACATACACGTAGTTTGGCTAAATCAGTGCACCAAGATAAATGATTTGCGTGATGACGGTAAACGACAGTTCTGTATTACTAGGCTATATTGCTGTAAATTGTCACTAATTATGTCATGAATGATGGACATTGGACCGGTCAGTTACAATAATATGATACACTTGTGGTCATATCATATATATATTATCTAAAGAGCAGTTTAGGATTATTTTAACAATTAACACATACGCGTCCATATGGTGAAAGTTCTTTTTGTAAGTGAAAGGAGTAATGACTCTCAAGCAATGTTTTAAAATGCTAATACTCTCTGATTGGTTCATACACTAGCTTAAGACCATCTCAAATCTTGAACAACGTCATTCGTATGTACGTGACCGGACAAAAAACCTCCGGTTGTAACAATTATTATTTTAAATCGTTTATATTTTGTATGAAGAGTTTTGAAGTGCAAATAAAAAGGTTTGTGAGTAATTCTATTAATTACAATTAATCATTCTTTTTTGGACCATGTACTTAACCGAAATAATTAACTGGATCTAAATTCAACAAAGTTTATACATGGAATCGTTTGATTTCGTATGAAGAATTATGAAGTACCATTTAAAACATTTGTGAGTCATCCAGACATTTTTAATTAAATATTAAAATATCATATGTATTTGACCGAAATATAGATACAGGCGCTACGACACCTATCACGGAAATTCCGTTAGACGCGATAGGTAGTCTCTCTAGTATTTTGATATTCTTGGTTCTTTTCTGATGACATGACCGCTACGACTTCTATTGTAGACCCCGCATAATAAGTTATAAAAAATTGATCAATCACTGTCGAACGTCGACTATTGCCTGATTTATACTTCGGTCTTAAGCGGTCCAATCAACTTCAATCTAGCTCGACTCTGATTGGATCACAACGCTTGCGACATGCTTGCGACACTGCAATGCGACTAATGTAGAACCAGCTTTAACCCTAAAATCCTACAATTCAGCCAATGGAATACAGATTTCAATTAGGACCAATTAAGACTGACAGCCCTATTGGCTGAATTTTAGGATTTTAGAGTTAAGACCGAAGCATAAACTAGGCATATATTGGTGAATTTTTTATGGCTTACAACTATTTCTATTGCATACAGGCTGCGGTCCACTTGACGCTACGAACGCTTCGAAGCATTCTTTGATTAGTCAATTCGTAAAATTCTTTGTTCTGATTG